TATATACATACAGACATACATACATACATACATTATACATACATATATATATATATATACTCCCTTGCAACACACTGTACATCCTACTCATACACCCTTTCATGCACATACCTATAACCAGGCAGGTAGTCAGCCACTGCCTTGTCGTACTGCTGCAGGTTCAGATTATACCATGCCGTGACCACCAGCTCCTGCTCCTGCCGATGGCGTGTCTGAGTGTTCTTCTCTCTGGCCTTGAGCCGATGAACCAGATGTCTTTCTTGCTTTAGTTCCACTAGCAGTCGCTTGTTGATGACCACACTCTCGGCGTGCGTAGTGCCGAACTTTTCGCCGTAGACACGGTAAAGTTGTGTTGCGCGCATGGGTTGGGTGGGGGTGTGTGGGTGTGGACAGAGGTGTGTGGGTGGATATAGGTATATACCGATTGTACTAGCGCGCATACACGTGTATATATATATGTGTACGTGAACATGTACATGTACATGTATATGTACGTGTTCATGTGCGTGTACTTGTGCTTGTGCGTTTGCGCGTGCTAGTAACCAGACAGTGTGATTGCATGCGATGACTGAGAACCACACACAAATCAAAGTAGCGAACTATATTCCTTTGAGGCACGCACTTCTCTCACTCACTCAGTGCAAAGACGCTAGATACTCGGAAGTGGTACAGGTCATCTGCTTGTACTGCAGAAGCTGCATATACACGCACAGGTTATAGCATTCACATGGTATAGAGTACGTGAAGAATACTCTCCACCCGGTATAAACAGTTGGCAATGCGAGAGTAGAGTTCCGGTGCTAGGAATCATAGCGGCAGCAACTGATATAGAATGGCCAAGAAACACGGCAACAGCAATAATAGGAAAGCCATTCGATACTGCACACAAAACACAGCACGCGCACGAACAACCACACACACACACACACAAAGGAGGAAAAGGGGAAAGACAATATGAAGAGAAGTATGAGAAGATAATTGATAATTCGCTCCATGTCGCGTGTTGAGAAACACGTGGATAACTTCGACTGGAGGAATGCAGGCTATTGATGTGATCTACAGAGACGCGTGACGAAACAAACGCCGATTTACAAAGAATGTGACCTACGGAATGCAAATCTATGAAGAGAGTGATCAAAGGAATGCCAGCAATTCTGTGATCTAATAGAAAAGTGATCTACACCTACGATAAGTACTCCAAAAAACAATACGAGTGATACTGCATGTGGTATAGGATATAGAATTCATAC